TTTTCTCTCGTTAAGCGTTAACCAAGTCAGTGAGACTATTTTTAATCTCATTGTTTGTTTGGATGTTTCTGTAGTTAGTTAAGTTTTCGCGTTTCTTCTTAATAGAACGGTATGGCGTGGGTGGTGTTAGTTTCTAAGTGATTTCGGAATACATATTTGCAATAGAGACGAAGCGAATGATGATGGAGGAATGAAGTATCTATACATATAAATAGAAGTACATAATATATCTGTAATTCATGTTCTATATGTTATTAAGACAATAAATGGAAGATCGATCGATAGTTTCTTTTCTTTAACCCTCGATTCATTTTTTATTACTTGGTTCGTCCGATTAAAAGAAAATTTTCTGCAATTCTGGTTTTCTTTCATTGTTGGTTCGCATTTTTTAATAATGTAGAAACTGCGATTTATTTGTTGTTAGTAATTTTGAAATACGGATGAATATTTTGGAATTGTTACTTTTATAGAGCATCCGCGTTGAGTATTTTTATAGTAAAAGAAGATTTGAAAAATAATAAATGAATCTGAGAATTTTAACGTTAGTCGGTATCGGATTTAGAAAGAAAATTGAAGGTTGAATTCTAAAAAAATATGTTTGTTTATGTAGAATTTAAAAAATGTCTACTTACGCTATGATTTTTTAAAATAAATTTTGAACTGGTCTCTGCACACATGTTTTTGTTAGGTAAGACAGATTTGAAGTGGCTGATGTTTTGGGACGTTTACTTTTGAAGTTTAATATTCCTTACGAGATTAAGTAAATTTATAAATAGTTTCTTATAAAATTATCAGTGAATCAATCTTAAGTGCGCTTTATTTTGAAAAAACATATTTAAAAGTTACTTTTCAACTTGAAGAGCTATGATTAAACTCAAGCTATAAATTGAATTTACATAATTATACTTGTTTATAATAATTATTTTGTATTATTTTGAAATCAAAGTAAGACTGTAATTTCTAATTATCCGTAAGTTCATAAATCTGTAGCGTTAATCGTTAATTAGATTACAGTTCAAGCAATTAATCAGGAATAGCGTGAAATTGTTAAAGAAATGGTGTAAGTTAATCTCAGTAGATCGAAAGTTCGTATTTTCGGAAGGAAAATAATTTGGTGAATATTATCTGCACACGTGACATGACAATCTGAGGTCTTGGTTAGACCTTAAGTTTATCACATGGGCCGATGGTTTGAAGTACAACGACTGTTCCATGAATCGTACGTGGTATCAATGAAATTTTGCTTATATTAAAAACGTTCATATTGGAAAGCATATTAATCAAACCTTTGCGAAATACAGCGATATAAGTGATAATCTAAGTACTAAAGTGATCATTTAATCAGCAGAATTTATATAACTGTTTTATACAGTAGATAACACGTATTTTTGTTAATATAATGAATAAAAAAGAATCAATTAGTTTTTAATTTGAGATTAAAGAATAGCTACATAGTTATAAGTAGATTACGGAAATTTGTCTGTTGCAAAGAATTAAGTCCTGCATAAATTTTGTATACATTTCGAATATAATTAAGAAATAAATATAGTTATAAAAGTTTCTTTTTTTAATCGTGAATATGTATAACGTTTGAAGTCTAGTCATAAGAGATAGCTTAAAATAGCTGAACTGTACTTTTCGATAGGCCAAGATTCCTCGTGTATTTTTAAGACTTTTGACTGTGCTACAAGAAGAACAACAACTCGTGTTTATCATTGTTGTACATTGCACAAACGTCTGATCCTTCAAAACCTCGTCTATATGTATGACGCTGTCTGATGTATTTCATCCATTCAGTGTATTTTTATATCAAACGTTTCGTTACTTATAGCGACGATTTGCAATAGTGAAAAATATATAGAAGTATTACTGCTTAAATTGCAATTTTTCTGTAATATGATTGTACACTTCATGAAAATAATCGAATATGTTCGTCAGTTGTATATATTTAAAGATTGATTAAGTAATGATCTCCAGTCCCATCGAAGCTTAGCTACTAATTCGTTAATTATTAGGACGATGATCTAGACTATAGTATCCACGTATCATGGAAGAAAAAATGGAGATCGTTCAACCTTGAAAGTCATCGAAGTCTTATAATATAATAATCTCTAAGAAATCAGCGATTTTTCGCATATTTCTGTAAGTAACTTCTGTGACGATTACGCTTTTCAATTCGATAGAATTCTCATCGAAAGCTGTATTATAAGGTGAACAAAGAACAAACTCGTGTATATCGAAATGGCAGCTGTTTATTATGAAAAAGAGTGAAACAGTTGGACATTAAAAAAACGCCTTATGTCGACGATAAAAAAAAGGGGCGGCAGAGTTGCCTGGAAAGCAGTATCCTACGATTACCCTGTGTGTTTCTCTCGTTGCTGTTATTTAAGTACCCACCGACAAAAACAATGTCTGTCCTTTCGATCAGTCTTGACAAGGATCCTCAAATCACCGAAGAAAAATGAATAATCTAACATCGCTACGCTCACATGTTCAGAAACACGCGCGGAAATCATGGTTTTACAAACATAAATAAAATACGACTAATGCCTCGCATCCGTGTACATCTACGAGTCTCATCGTAATCGACGGTTACATCACTGTCTTGTTAAGTTACGCGATAGAAAATATAGGATAAACGATCACAAAGTAAAAACGGCACTCGATACAAGTGTCCCGTTCGAGTTCGAATCACTCACTCTCATCAATCACAACGTATACTCGCTTATCGGAATACTTGTTCGCTAACATGGAACGTTGGTTCCTCGCGCCAGTGAATCTTCGCCGACCATCTTGAATCGCGCGAGCTTTCTTTAAAGGAAACGATTATTCGTGAATCTTTTATTCTTTCTTTACTGTCACTTTTTTTTTCTTTTTCAATCGGGGATATTCTCCTTGCGAAGATATATTGTTCCCCTTTTCCAACTTCTCTTTGAGACAATGTTGAACTTTCTCCAACCCCTTCGTCCATTTTGTCGGAGAATGACTGAATCATGTCCATTGAATATTTCACCATCTTTAATATTCTGAGACGGCGTTATAAGCTGTTGTTTTCAGGAAACTGTCCATTCTTCGACAGTTTCAAAGCCCTCAGTTGTTTGTGCAATCGTTGCTTGCAGAACTGATAAAATTCGATTTCCCTCGTGAAATTACTGCGCACCATGTCCTTCACTTCTTCGCTGACTGGGGGCTTGAAAAAGTTTCGGTTGATTCTTGTGAAAGCGTTCACCTCGTCTGAAATTTAGTTTAGCTTTGGTTAGCTTCATTACTTTTGCTAGGTGTGAATGAACTGGTAACGAATTTTCTTAAATATGAAATAATTTGAACATTAAATATTAAATAGATGTTTTCTTAAATATGAAAAAAGCCTCATCCCTTAACAAGTTCGCTACTTTACATTAGAAACTATGAAATTATTGCTATAGATACTGTTATTTAAAGTTGTAAAATATGACATTACATTTAGGAATAATTCTTTCTAGTTTCATTTGTTCAACATTTTATTTAGATTCGTTGTATTTAACAAAATATCGTAACTCAGAAGATTGTCGCTGAAACAAATGATAGCAGCAAACGCGTTAAGATATTTGCTTTACATAGTCAAACGCTCTATAGATACATCTATTATATATGCCACCGTCTTGCTGTAATTGTAAGTTACTAGATTGAACAATTGCAAACGTAACCGCAGATGAAAACAGTAGAACAAGAAGATTACCATAGTAAACGTCTGTGGCGCCGCGAAAAAATCGTGGTATGTAATTTTCCAATACTGTCAGGGTGGCGTTCACATCCTCGAGCACACCGACCACCGCATAGTCTTTCTCCACGGCCATCTTCGCTCGTTCTAAAGCGCCCACTGTATTGAACGGACTAAAAAAAAATGGAAAAAAATCATAATTTCAGGTATTCGATTAAATCAACGTCGAATTTTTCGCATAAATAATTTTAGCAAATGTAATTTCTGTTTCCCTAACCCTTGTTAATTTTAGTTATCGACTGATCACGTGAAATTTGATAGAAAGAATTAATGCAATTGGTAGAAGTAGGGACTAATTTTTTCAAATTCCTAACAAATCCTCACAAGTATCAGTTCACACTCTCTTTCTCTGATATTTTCGTTTCACGCGGTAAACAACTATTTTATATTTTGCTGCTTTTTTATCCCTTTTTACCGATGATCCTACATATTTGTCAGGAATACGTGGGTTCGTTTTGTGTATTTTTTACACGCTTCCTCTACTCCGTTGCGTATTATTATATTACCTTCATGTCCTTCCGGTATTATTCGAAATGGCAAAATATATTCATTTCATTTTATATATATAATTTGAACAGTTGTAAAAAAAGAAGGGTAGTTCTAAACGAGTGATTTTTATGCATCCGGTGGTTGAAGCGTCGATTTCCCTTTTACAAGTATTTACTTTCGATATTAAAAGGGGGATAAATAAGAAGAGCGGTATGGCAAGTAAGTATACAGGAAGTCTCGCGTTAAAAGCACGTACGTGCATCTCTCGCTGTGCCCGCAGAAGAAAAGCGTTTGTCTGCGGTGATCGCCGATCCCCTCGTGGATTTCGCCCTCCAGATATCTGCATTCACGGTCCGCCTTAAGTACACAGGACTCGAAGTCCTTCTTCAGCCAATTGGGATCCGGCAGGGGCAGGTCTGGGAATATTTGCTTTCTCTCGACGTAATACCAAGGCGCTCGCACGTAATAGTACCAGGATATCACTCTCTCGACAGGATCCCGGACTATATTGATGTAAATTGGCTGCGGCAAGTTGAACCTGCGGAGAGAAAAATACAGAGAATCAGATAGGCCGCAGGGTTTGCAATTAGAATGGTTCCGGGTAATGTTCTTATCCCTTCTCGTTTAGACGATTCTTTCTGAAACACGAGGGACACTGGAACAAATCTTCAAGGAGTCGAAGGTAAACCATAGTCTGTTGTTTTCTCTTTATTTCAGCGATTTAGAGACTGGCGAATTCGAGAATCTCAATTATTTTCGATTAGCTTTTGTTACTCTCGTTCTCTTCGAATGATCGAGAGACTGTCGAATTGGAGGATGTCGATTTTTAAAGATTTTGTCCTGTTATATTTCTTTTTTTCCCAACGATCTCGATAAATCGAGATTTAAAATAGTAATGCAATTGAGATAAAAATATTCCCATATGAACAAATGAATAAAGTATTTGGTATTACATTTCTTATTCGATTCTTTGTTTCAGAGAAGACCGATTTAGAATGATTGAATGTGAAGTTGAAAATTGAACGCATCATTCTGTTATTGGTTGTTTTTGATGTATTAGTGTTTGTAAATTGCAATCCCTTACGTTATATACAAGACCGTATTTTATGGTTCAGCGTATGAAGAAGAAAATTTAATTTTCTTTAGTAGTTTTTAAGAGAACAACACGCTACCCTCGATATAGCGCATTGTGTGCATGCATCGGAATTTAGTGGATTGCTCGGTGGATGTAAAGTACAAATGGAATTCTGATTTAATGAGCTGTAACTAATTGCAGGAAACTTACTCTGTGAAGTTGGTGAAGCACACATGCTTTATGTATACGGATGGCTCCGAGTAGCTGCTGACCATTCTGGCGAGTTGCAACTAAACAACGGAAACAATTTTATTATTGTACCAATATCTATTGTCGACTAAAAGATGTATCCCACTTAAACAATCTAATTTTACCAACAACAAATTCCCCTAATCGAAAAAATCCAAAGTTTACGAATAAACATTTAGAAAAGTACTACCATTTCTTATAAATTATTCAAATATCCGCGATCTTCGTTGATACTTTATTAAATAATTATTTCATTATTTATTATAAAAATCCTACCGAAAAGTTTTAGTTAAAATTGTATATCAAAATAACTTTTAGAAAATGAAAAGAGTTGAAGTTTTGATCACTTCAAGTTATTAAAAAATTTCTTGAATGACAGTGTACCAAAAACAAAAAGCTCATAATTGATGGATGACGTAGTTATAAAACGAATAGTATTGTAGTTACATTATAATTCTTGTTAGTATATAATAAATATTTATTATGTGTTAACATTCAGTGAATACAGATGTATTTAATACCTGTTCAATGGGCGCAAGACGTATGGTCTCGACTCTCTGCACACGATCTCTGTTAAACGAGAAGCCATTCCTCATCGACAGCCTCCTCAGCAGTTCCATAAACGTTTGCGAGCCCACCTTTGGCACGCGATTGAAGAATAGAACCTTCTTGCCCGCTCTCTTGGTGTTGTTCAACGCATCGATATCCAATATTTCCGATTCTCTGTGCTGAAATCGAACAAGAATAATTAATTAACACATTCTTCGAACTTTATAGCCGCTTCTTCACCTTTCCCAATCATGTCACTTAAACAATTATATGCACTTCAATTCGAACATTACATTCGAAATCTCTTTTAAATAAATAATTGTTCGCATTGCTTATCAAACACACGCTTTTCATCGACTTCCTACTTTTTTTATAATATTCAAAATAGAAATAAAATTATACGATATTCTAATAGTAGATACAATATTATATTATAAAATTACATTACAATAATAAATAAATTTTCGGAGAAAGTAGATGATCTCCTCCCAGGGGAGACCAGCTAGGCAAAGTTGTATTATCGCAGCGGTACAGTAATACACGGAACCACAACATAAATTTTCATAGAAATTCCTATGGGAAAGCAGATAGAGAAAATCTTATTTTCTCCAAAATCCTGATATACGCGGCGCCGGTCGGCGTCATTCGCGTTATTCGCCGCGATAAACACGGTTACCGTAATCCGATCGGAAGACGGGTCCCCTTGTCGTCAATTATATTCTATCCCATTCCCATGATTCTTCCCCGGCGAAATAACTGAAGGCGATGTCGGACAAGCTATTCCATTTCGATGAGCGCGACCGGCCAGCGAACAAGGCGTTCGTGAACGAAAGTACGAGAAACAAATATCTTATTTCTACCCCGGGCTTCTGAATTGTTTTTGCGCTGCACAATATTCGCCACGGTTATGAACCAGCGGGGAAGTAATATGCGAGTGGTTCAGAATAATAGTCGAACTCCTATTTCTGAGCTCTCGAGTAAGAAAGTTTTTGCGGAATCTTTTTGGATTCATCAAATATAGATATTATAATATTGTTAATAATATAATTACTCTGAATTATTAGCGTCTAATTGCGATTGGTTATTACTAGTAGTAAATGCTATTAATGATTACTAGTACCATTAGTTATTACTAGTAATTGCTATTAATTATTACTAATACAATTTGTTATTACTAATAATTGCTGTTAATTATTACTGATACCATTGGTTATTACTAGTAATTGCTATTATTTACTGCTGATAATTACGATTGATTATTCGTAGTAATTAATGTTCACTATTACTGGTAACTGTTATTGACTACTGATATTAATAATCGTAATAGTAATGTTCAATTAATCCAAGAACATTTCGCAAAAGCCTTTCTTCTCGAGAACTCAGAGATACGAGTTAGACTAGTATCATTCTAAGCTGCTCGTATAAAGAGCGTCCGATGATTAGCCTAACGTTTCATTTGGAGATCTGAGAATTCAAACGTTGTAAGCAAGAAGAATTCAACGGCGTAAAAAATTCCTTTTTTAATAAGATTTTATTCGCGAATAAAGTGCTCGGTCCTTTCTCGAATACCCTGCAAATGATTCTTCAGCGGAAAAAGGGAAAGCACCGAGTTCTACGATGTTTGAATTATTTATGAATCTTATTCGCGTATTCGATCCTCTGCGTGATCCTATTCCTCTCGTTAAGCTTGACAGTTTGCGAGAGATGCTAATCTTATTTTTACGCGACGAAATCTTATCCGCGTTCGATTTATCGCTATCAGACTGTATCAGCGTAATCTTTTTAGTATTCAATCTGAATTCCCGTTGCGGAGAATAGTTTCGTCTATCTTGATCGCGATGTACGCGTGTTCTCCGACGTTGGGAAACGATTTAGTAGCGGGAACATTCGTTTAAACAATAGAAACATGGTTCCTTGAACAACATTTCTTCCATATTTCAACGAGTTTAACAGAAAGGAATATTACTGGATTCTGTCGAGTTTAAATTAAATACTATTTCACTGCCATCAATCGTTATATTCTACGGTAAACATAGGATAAAGTAAACACAACACTATTTTATGGATTGTTTAACATGGGTTATTTAAGAACAAACTAGTTATATTAGGGGAAGGAATGAAAAAACTGTTTGCTAGTTAGCGGAATGACTTTTAACGTGTCCCATTCAATCTTTTTATAAAGCCAGGAAAATTTCGATATTTTTTCGTAACCGAACATTTATGTTGATCGAATGCGCGCAATGAAATTTTACTTGTATCAAATATATTAATATTATCACCTAACGAAGGAGATTCGCAGAACCTCTGAGACTTCAGTTCCGCAGTTAAGGGTTAATCCACACTTTATAACCGTACAAAATCAGTGATTGATAGTTACTGCAGCAATTCCCAACTTTTTGCGTCTCGGCGTGCGAACGAATGGAGGATTAAAATTCTGTAGCACACTAAAAAATACATCTATTACAATAAGTACCGCATATTTTTTAAATTGCCGCAAGCATTTCCGCGGGTACGACACTGAAACGAATCAACTGAGGTGAATAGCCTGTGATATCCAAAATGTAAATAATTCATAGACGGAGTGAGATGCGGCGAACATTGTTATTGGATTTCGTTTCGCTGGCTTCTTATGTTTACGAAATCCCGGTAACACAGTTTAGAGTATATACTGTTTCTTGCAAACACCGAGGAAGTGCGTGCGGTCGAGTCCCCTGCCCTTGTGCACGTTTACTGTAGGGATCTCACGTTAGCCAAGCCGGCCTGTGGCTCAAAAGTGAAGAGAGGCAAGGAGACTCGGCAGCGCGCTTCAACTTATCTCGCAGCTCGGCCAGCGTCGTGAGTGGAAGAGTTCCCTTGCCCCTGTGACTTTTCAGCTTCATGGATTGACTCAGAACGTGAGAGCTGCAGAGTATATACTAGATTATAGATGTTTCAAACTGATTGGATTGGACAGAAAGTTAAAAGAACGAATAAGTATTCATTATCAGTACTTGTTATAAATAAGTATTTAATAAATAATGAATAAATAACAAATAGTTATTGAATAAACATTTATTATTCCTCAATCTAGCTGTTTCCCCATTTCCTTACTGAAACTCATTCAAACAAAAGTTAAAAGTTTCTATTCAATCGAATATGTAAGTGACTATAATATGTAAGCGACTATACGTAAGACATTCGCATAATATCGATCATTCGTTTAATGAAAAGTCGGGTGACCAGATGATTGGATAACTGACATTTTATTATGGTTTATTTGTAAACGTCCTACAAGCAAGAAAAATATTTAACGAGACAAATGCGTTTGGCCAGCGGAAGGTTAAGTGGATATCACACGTTGCATGGTGGCCAGGTGGAATCCAACCGATCCTCTTCTTCTTCCTGTCCGCGTGACGGTGCTCTTCTCGGTTACCATGGCGCAAGTAGGTACGTTACATTATTGCATTATTACTACGCGCGTTTGCACGCTTCCTCCTCGATTACGGATTCCCTCCGCCCTCTTCCCAACCGTTTTTCCTCGGTGGATTCTTCACGGAGTCGCAATCCGTCTTTTCTGCTTACTACCCACGGTATTAAAGGATCGCGACGTAATTTGCTTCGCGGTTATCTCTATGTAATACCGAACATTACGAGGGAAATCCGCCGTGTAGCCCTTGCCCGGCACATGATCGGCGTAAACTTAGCGATGGGATCGAGCGTTCCGCGGAGACGATATCATGGTACTGTAAAAATATTAGGTCACATCGTCGTTTTAACTTTTTAGTTTCCTAATTTTCTAATTTTTCAATTTTCATTTTACTGTCATTTCTGAAAATATTCGACAAAATGAATCGGCAAACGGAGAAAAGTTATACGCAATGATGGTCGATACGTGGACGATTAAAAGGAAATATATGTATTAATCGTTTTTTTATTTAGCGTTTAATTACTGTTTCTGAGTTCTCTTCCGTTAATTGAATATTAATATTACAGTCGTTAATATTAATAATTAGTGGTAATCAATATTATTAAGAGCATTGTAATATTGCGATATACGTAAAACCGTGTATCATTCGCCATAAGGAAAACAAAAATGAGAATTGGGCGTCGCTCTTGAAAAATTAAGACAATTTCCTCTTACTATAAAGGGAATGCAAGCGTATCTACTGTCAGTTATCGATGATTAAATCTCAGCCGCGATATCGTTGAACGAGAAACATGTGAATTAAAACAGATTTTACGCTTGTGCATTCCGGATATGCATCAGAGATGATTCATCCATGTTGAGAACGTGAACGACGAATACCGGGATATTCATAACTGTTTACTACTTGAATTCATTTTAAAAAGTGGTGAAACAGTTACAAGGATAAGACTCGAGTAAATTTTTTAATTAATTAACTCGAAGCTTTCCCAACTTTCGATACATGAAATTGAAATGTAAGTGAAATGAATTGAATGAATTGAATGAACTAGAAATGTAATTGAAATGTAATTGAAATGTAATTGAACTGTAATTGAAACATAATTGTGATGTAATTGAAATGTAATTGAAATGTAATTGAAACATAATTGTGATGTAATTGAAATGCAATTGCAATGTAATTGAAATGAATTGAATGAAATTACAATATAAAAGAAATGAGTTGAATGAAATTGCAATATAATTGAAATGAATTGAATGAAATTGAAATACCTCGAAACAATTATTTAGAAAGAGAAAATCGTGAAGTAAATATTCTGGTAACTATAAAATATTAGATAATTATTACATAATAATTCAAACATTACGACATGATAATAAAATCCAATAAAACTAAGTTAGATAAATATGATATTTTAATAAAAGACCTTCTACTTCGCCTTCTTATAAACAAATTTCACACGTGTTCCCGTAGTTTTTATTTTTTTCTTCAGGTACATTCACCTTTTCTCAAATCGTATCACCGTTCCGGAAAAACATCCAACGCGTTTGCGTGTCCACCGATTAAGGCCAGACTTCATCGCGCATTCAATCCGTCCGCGTTTTACGTTTCCCCGAATGAAACCTCCTGTTTATTTCCCCCGGACAATTGACACAAATTTTCCAGGAGACCGAGATTGCGGCAACGAAACTAGCCAAATGGAAAAAAAAGAGAGGAACGAACGGCAACGGGCGCGAATAGAGACGCAGAATGCGTCGGGAATGGGAACATCGCGC